GTGTGTGTGTGTGTGTGTGACAGACAAACAGAGACATCAGGTATAAGGACACCAGCTTAATAGTACTTTGTAGTGCCCCTTAAATCTTAAAAATGACCCACTCCTTTGTCTATGCAATACACACACAAAAAGCACATGCCATGGTGACGGTGTTTCAGAGATAGCCAAAAAAAAAATTTCTGCATAAATTCCTTGGCTTCTTTGGAAAGAATTTGGGGGGAAAGGTGTTCTAGAAATGTCATATTTTATTATCACAATTGACCATTTTTGGCGTATTATATATTTAAACAGGCAATGGAATCATAGAGCAAACAGAAAGCTGGCATATGATGGCAATTAACCTGGATTCATAGATCACTATAAACAACTGAAATGTTTGCACGAGGTTCTTCTGATCAGTTAATTAACTGATAATTTGCCCAATGAAATTGTTATTCTTGGGACCCTGCAGGGACAATCTTATTTAACCATGTGCCAGTTCTGAGGCCAAACCAAAACTGGCACCGATATCAAATTCCTCTGTGTTTTTCCAAATGCTGCCTGTGACTACAAAGTAAAAAAAAAGTCAAAAGTCCTCTAACAAAGCAAAAGGAAATTCTCCACCAGGTCCCTGAATTTTAGAACAAATCCCTAATCCCATTTGCTTTATTTATTGAACTGAATAGACCTAATGAATAAAAATGAACCCAGCATCTGCTGCTCCCCCCTCAAAAAAACCAAACTTTGAAAACTCTCTTTTCAGGTGTAAGTTTAGAAAGAATTGATACAATTCAGCAGTGTGAGAAGAGGTTTGCACCTCTCCCCATGAGGAGACCGAGCTGACAGAGCAATAGGAATCTATACGAAGACTATTTTCAGTGGATTTTTAACACATAAAAGTGGCGACAAAAAACGTCCCTTTGCATTTCTGTGCAGTAGGTTATATTTTGTCATTTTGCCTCTGTCCATCCATGTCAACTCTACAGCTGTTCGCAGAGCCCTCCCCCCAAAAACCCACCCACGTACTTCATTTCCATGATGACTGCTCACAAAAGATATTCTACTTGCAGAAATCCAGGGGGAAATCTATATTTGCCAACTATGTCAAGTAATAATATAACAAATGTAACAATAAAAGCTCTTTGCTTTTCATCTGTACTTCTCAATAGACGCTACAAAGGTGGACAAGCGTCATCCCCATTTTACAGGCAAAACCCAAGAGAGGTTAAGTGACTTTCCCAAGATTGCAGAGCAAGCCAGTGTCAGAAATGGGAATGCAACCCAAATCTCCAGAGTCCCAGACGAGAGCTCTACCAACTACTCTATAAAGCTACTGCTTATAGAGCAGTAATCAATACACCCAACCAATGCAAGTGACGTTTCCATCCTAGGGGCCAACACAGAGTACTTCTCAGTCATATATAGGGACTGTATATAATTCCAACCTTCCTAATTCATGGAATATGAATCTCTTAAATAGCCATGGGGATCTGGTCATCCCCCTATAGTCTCCTTGTTCTGTGGGGAGATACAGGAAAGTGAAATACTCACATCTGCATAAACTTTAGAGCCAAAGACTGGCGCCCAGTATGCTGGCTCAGCTTTACAGTGGGCTGGGCAGTAAACCCTGAAAAACAATGTTTGCACATTTATTTGCTACAGCAAGAAATAAGAGAAAAACAAGTTGCATTCTTGAGCTCTTGGAAGCCCTCAGGGGCCCTGCATCTGGTTAGCAGGTGACAGCAACTGCCTGGTTTTTTTCCCCTTCAGATGAAACTTGATAGTAACTATAACTAAATAAAACAAGACCACTGGGCCAAATTCTCCAAGCAGTGTTTCCATCCTTGTGTCCAGCCCTGCGTATGGAGTTGTTTGCCCATCACCACTCGTGCACACAACTGCTAGAAACAAGAGGAAAAAAAAGTTCTGTGCAGGTAAATTTTATCCTTTGGGTGCATAGGTGCCCGCATCCCAAAATGGCACATGCACGTGAATGAACAAAGAATGGAAAGTTGCATATGTGTAACTGTCGCAAGACGGATTTGAACCTGGGACTTCTGGAGCTTTGTATAGCAGCTGCTACCCTTGAACCTGGGACTTCTGGAGCTTTGTATAGCAGCAGCAGCTGCTGCTACCCTCGGAGCTAAAAGCCAGCTGGCTCTCAGCCCACTCTGTAGAGGTGACTTGTTCTTATCTGACGCTGTGGTCTAGGTTCTTATCTGACGCTGCATGGGACAGTGAACCACACTAGGTGTGTGCATTACAGATGCACATCGCAAGGCCAATCTGAAGGGGTCTCATATTCAGAGCTTCTCGAATCACTGAAGCATGTAACAAACTCAGTAACAAACCCACCAAACTATGGATTTTTACTCCAGTTGTGTGTCCCTATGTCAGCGCTGATGATATGCTCAGGTGAAAACCATGCTTGTGAAAGCAGGTCATTTTATTCATCTACAGATTGGACCTCCCTGGTCCAGCATCCTCAGACCTGGGGGAGGGAGAAGTACTAGCCTCCCCACTGGGCTCCTGTCCCCAGCCTCCTTGCCCCATGAACTGTAGCAGCCCTGCCAGAGCTCGCGGCAGCCCCACCCAAGCTCCTGGCGGTGACCCAGCTGGCTGCGGGTTCCACTGCTCCACGAGTTCCACCCCCTCTTGGCTTCCTTGCTGTGCCAGATGCAGGGTCTGGTGCCCAGCAGAATCCGCTGACTCCTCCGGCTGGCTCCACTCTGAGCCACTGGCCAAATCTGCCACCGGGGCTCTAGTCCTGCAACATCCACGGGCCGGTTGCTGGACCACAGAGTCCCAGACCACAGAGGTTCAGCCTGTAGTACATTGATTTGGATGCTGAAAAAGCTCTTCTTTTAAACCTTTATCCCAGTTAATCCGATATAGTTTAGGTCTAGGATCAAAAGAAATAGCATCATACTTGGAGTATGCAGCTTACCTCGGACAATGAGTTGCTGGCTTTTTGAATGGACACAGTTCGGCGACGGTGGTGTAACAATCCAGCGTCTGCACTGTGGAAAGCAACAGAGAGGAATAATCAGGCCAAATAGTTGGTGCCCGTGAAGTAAACAGAAGCCTTAGTCATGCGTCACATCTGACAGGATGCATGCCCAGCTGGTGCAGCCAGAAGAATAACTTCCAGGTCTTCATTAGAAACAGCTTGCAACGAAGAGATGTTTTTATTAGGGTTTATGCTGGAGATCTATTAAAATTACTAGAAAATCCTTTTCCGAGGACTATGGCTTTTTAAAGCAAATAATATCTGAGACACGGAGAGGTGGAATTTTGTTACAGATGTTTTTGAATCCCGAGGAGTTTCTCTGGCAGGTTTTTGATCAAATTCTGAGTCTAAACGACTTGACAGTATCACTTTTAACTTTCCACTTGCCAGAGGCTTCACCCTAAAATCCGCTCGTGGTAACACAAACCAAAACATAGGGGCTACGTCTACACTGGCCCCTTCTTCAGAACAGCCATGCTAATTTAGAGCTTTGGAATAGGGAAATGCGCGGGGGATTTAAATATCCCCCGCGGGATTTAAATAAACATGGCCGCCGCTTTTTTTCCGGCTTGGGGAAAAGCCGGAAAAGAGCATCCAGACTGGCACGATCCTCCGGAATAAAGCCCTATTTCAAGTAGGAATAAGAGATCCTCCGGAATAGGGCTTTATTCCGGAGGATCGCGCCAGTCTGGACGCTCTTTTCCGGCTTTTCCCCAAGCTGGAAAAAAAGCGGCGGCCATGTTTATTTAAATCCCGCGGGGGATATTTAAATCCCCCGCACATTTCCTATTCCAAAGTTCTAAATTAGCATGGCTATTCCGAAGAAGGGGCCAGTGTAGACGTAGCTAGGTTGTATTTAAGCTGCGCAGCAGGGTGACCATACATCCTGTTTTGGCTATGGTCCCTTTTTTAAGCCCCTTCTTTGGAAAAAGTGGACATTTGTCCAATTTGCTCTTGCCAACATGATCAGCTGGTGAAAGCAAATGGGACGGGGGTGGAGGAATGTGTGGGAAGGGGTAAGCAGCAATTGCATCCCTGTGAGGGGATGGGGAAGGGGCAGAGAAAGTAGGGCTTGGGCAAGAAATACTGCCAGCCCCAGTCTTTGGGCGAGATGGTCACCTTATTTAGCATGTGTGGCGCTACTCACCTAAGTCCTACCTGAAGGAGGGCTTAGGAGAGAATGGGATGCTTGGGTGAGAGGCTTGAGCTACTCCTGCCTGGAGGGGGGGAGGTGTCTTAGGCTTGCCCCACAAGGAGGATGGGGAGACCCATACAGTGTCCTGTGTTCTTGGAAAATATAGTCACCCTTGGCTGGGGCATTATTCCATTGGGCTGCAAAAGGGGGGGAAATGTTTTGAAAAATGCCGCTTTTGTTTTTCCCAGCCTGCTCTACTCATGAATAGGAAGCGTCCCTCATCTGCACAAAGCTTTGCCCATTGAAGACTTTTAAAGGAGCATGCGTTTGGAATGACAAAGTCAGTGTCTTCCACTAAACTCCAGCACGGTTGAGTTTCTCTCAACCTTATAATGACAAAAAGGACATTTGCACTTACCTGTCACTTTGGAAACCATGAATGAATTGGAAGGTTTATATTTACTGAAAAACAAAACAAGAAATGCCCAGATATATTTCATTGGCCTTTCACACATAAGTGCACTACAGTTCCCCTACAACTTATTTCTCTATTGCTTGCCACCAGTGTCCAGTGGGGAACAACAATTTATTGTGCAAGTCATAGTTCTCCACACATAGAGATATATTTTCTCAGGGAAGAATTACCTTAAAGATTCAATGCCATTTCTTGTAGACTTGACAAAATGGGGCGACCTCCCTTTCCGGGTAATGTCAACCAAACCTCCTTTATCATCTAAGATGCCATAATGAATTGCAGCACGACATATACTGGATGACTGGAAAGGACAGAACAAATAATACTTTAAAACCCAAGTTTCCTAAATAGTTTGAAGCAAAAAAAAAAAATCATAAATAAATATGTAAAAGAAATACTTAAAAGCCAGCTGGAGTCTATATCGACTTATATTTACTGAAGAAATGCCACACTGGGCTCAGTCAACTGAAATTTACTGCTATAGCACATGCACATTTATTTTTATTTCAAGCCTTACTTGATTTAAGTACAAACATGGATTTGTTTAAAAAAATATTTAAAATATATTAAATGTAAAAGATAAGACGAGCTGGTTTGAAAATGCGCCCCCCCCCAGGTAATTTTGTATTTTTTAATAAAAAAGACAAATCTGAAATATTTCAGCTGGAAACTCTTTATCAAGGAGAGGTGGTATACCACAACAGCTGGATGGCTGTGATGCATCATGGGAGACAGAGTCCAGAGAGAAGCTCAGGCCATAGAGAAGAATAGGAGCACAAAGCAATTGAACTACAACTTCCATGAGGCACCTGCAGCTGTATTTCAGCTTCAATATATCTGGGGCTTTTTTTCCATTACAAAAAAAATAAAAAAATTTCATCAGAAAGCAGGCACATTTTGTAAATACAAAATTGTTTAAGCAAACCCCCATTTTTTTTTAATCAAAACAGTTTTGACAGAAAATTGATAACCTACTTTATTATAAAATATTTTAATGCTTCAAGATTCAATGAGCCATCCTAAAAATAAAAAGCCAGCATTCCTGTGAACCAACCTGAGAAGTAATTCTAATATAAAGTTTCTCTTCCAACCCAAAAGCTCACGGCACTGCGACAGACTCTGAAAGACGCCATGCACTCCCAGCAAGTAAAACAGGGCTCTCAACTTCCGTTCAATGTCATGGGCATAGAGGGCACTCAAAACCAAATCAAATGCTGAGTAGATATTCTTTCCAGCACTCATTTTATCATATAGATGGGAAAATGCAGATTACCTTTGTTATACAAGTTAATACGGATTTGCAACACCAACATGGAAGGACAGAAAAGCTGTGTTACATTAGAATTGCCGGCGTTTTCCGTTTATATTCTTTCTATTAAAATCCCAATAAATGTCATCCATCAGCCATAATAAAGTACTTACCGTCTCATAATAGAACGTTCCAAATATTTTTGCCTTGCTGTTCACGCAGCCAGCTGGGCACAGATACCTAGTTAAACGGAGAGATATATGTGGTGGTGAGTGAAAAATGTGAGTCAGACTTTTCCTACATTTAATAGTGACCCTATTAGTGTCATGTAACTAGTCCTTTGAAAACCAGCACTGCAAAACAGCCACGTTTTTTAATACCGTTTCCCTTGAGACTCAGATCAATATTGACATTGTGGGTTTGGGGTTTTTTCTCAAGCAATAAACTTTAGTGTATCTTCGTGAGATCTTACCCAGAGCTCTTGACCCGCTGGGTGGGGACAAACTTCAAATTAATGGTCTTAGGTTAGATGGGAATATAACACAAGAGGAGTGCAAAAATGACTGTGCTAAGGTTTACTAAATGGGGCGGACCACCTGTAAGCTCCAGGTCAGGGGTAGGGTTTGGATGTGACTCCCTGTTTGTCTGGATCCAGCCCCCAGGACTCGGAGCCCCTCCCCCAGCATTGGGAAGCATTCCAGTCCCCTCGCTGTCCCCCTGTGGGGCTGGAGCACACAAAATCCACTAGCCTGGGCCCCCTTTGGCTCTGGTGTGTGAGGGGAATGTGGGGAATGTCTTTCTACTTCACAGTCCAGGGCCACATGAGTGAGAGTTGGGGAGCTTTAAGGTTTGTTGTTGATGTTGTTTGATTGGTTTTTTGCTTCTCACTTGTGTGTGGCCCCCGACTGATTTTTCTGGGTGTCAGCAACCCCCAACCTCAAAAAGTTCCCCACTCCAGGTTATGACCGTTCACCGTTTCGAGCAGCAAATTAATTGAGTCACCTCATTGCTAAACTTGACCGAATAATTTGTATTAAGAAGAATGAAAGACATTTTCATAGGGAGTTAGGCAGCATGGGATTTGGAGCACAATCAATAGAACTCAGCCCGCTCCATGTTTGCAACAGTCAGGCAGGTTTAAGGTGACCGTTTCCACGTTCACAGCAGCAAAAACCGATAACACACTACCTGTTGCATGTTGATCCTTTGCATTTGTCCCTCATTTTGGCATCGCACTTAATGACCTGTGCTAGAAAAGAAAAGAAAAAGGGAGAGGCATAAGAGATGAGAGCACAAGATAAAAACAGCCAGATAAGTAGTCAGCGGGTAACTGATGTGGTCTCCAAAAGATCGGCGTGGGAATATTGAATTCTTACCATAGAATAACTATGCAATAGTCAGCTCAGAGGGAGGGATAGCTCAGTGGTTTGAGCATTGGCCTGCTAAACCAAGGGTTGTGAGTTCAATCCTTGTGGGGGGCCATTTAGGGCAAATCTATCAGGGATGGTACTTGGTCCTGCTGTGGGGGCAGGGGACTGGATTCAATGACTTCTCAAGGTCCCTTCCAGTTCTATGAGATGGTATATCTCCATATATTATATTATATTATTATAACTTCAGGACTGTAAACCTGAAGCAGTTTTATATCAGTCACATGGCCACGTTAGCCATTCCTTATCACACAGGTGCCTTTGCAAATATTAACTTGAAGGAAACACCTGACACCAGACATCTTCAATTTACCGCCTAAAGACAGTACTCAGCACTTCCATCATCCACTTAATTACAGGCTACCCACATTCCTGTAGACAGACTTGAGAAGGCAACGCACACTTGCAGTAAATCACTCTTTGGATTAATGATTAGAAAACCTTTGAAGAGATACTATCAACTCCTTGAATATTTCATGAGACCTTGTGAAACAAAACCAGTGCCCCCTTTTCTTGCTGGACAAAACCCAGCAAAAACATCAAGGTGATGAACACTGCGCTTAGAATATTCAAACGAGTGAAATAGTAAATCGTGAACAAATAAAGTGCCTGGATAGGAATATAATCTGTGATCACAGACAAGATTTTGTAAAGGTGCTAACTAGTGGAAGATGCTCAGACAGAAAAATGATGAGTGTGATAGAAGAACCAGACTAGACTAGAATTTCTGGATGCCTCTGTTTTGGGTGTTCAGCCCAACGGGCCTTAAAGAGGCCTACTTTTCAGGACTGTCTGAATGAACAGGCCTCAAAAGTTGGACACTACAAAAATTAAGACATCCAAAAAATGCTTTTGAAAATCTTGACCCACATTTCTACTTTTTATCCTCCCTCCCATTTGCCAAACTGGCTCTCAACACAGCTTTGCACTAGAGGCCTCATGGCATCTTATTCTGCATCCACACTCCTATGAAAGTATTTAAAAGCTTATAGGATAGGGAAGGCAAATAAAGCTCTTACTCATGAAATTGTCTGATGTCTTGGTGATTTTCTTGGTCTTAGTTGGTTTAGTGGGTTTGGTCACCCGTTCTTGCACCCACATGTGTTTTTCCTCTGTAATTTGTGGGACCTCCACTTCGTTAGTCTCATCCTGCTCAGGCTTTTGTACGTAGTGGTCATCTTATTGAAGGGAAGGGAAAACAACATCCTGGCATTAATAGTCAAGTCTGATGAGCTGTGGCAGGACTGATATTTCGTGGACTATTGTTTGGTTTAGCAAAGATCTATTTCTAAATAGTTGGAAACTCAACAAAATGAAAGTTAAATACAGAATAGACCAATCTTCTAGGATGGGTAAAGTACCAGGAAAGGAATCTTCGCTTCATACCATTCATTTCCTTGGCACCTAAAGCAATGCTTAAAAAACTAAGCAATAACTGGTTGAAGTGATCTGTCACTTACAATGCTGATGAGGGTGTGCTGAAATCTTACTATTATTTATCATGCTATTTAAAAACACTTTTACTTGGTAGAAAAAGGTCAGTACTCTAAGACAGTCAGACATATTCACCAGACACCTGTCAAGAGAGGACCCTCACTCGTTAAGTGCTCAGGTGGTTGGTGCTCTCCACTTCTCACACAGGGCGTTCACCTCAAAACTACCTTCCCCATCCTTATCACAGCTTCCTTCTGTCATGCACTGCTCATTTCTCCTTACCTTGCTGCAGCGTTAATACTTTTGTGCCCTCGGAGGGCTCATCTACACTGCGGTTAGAGACCCGTGGCTGGCTTATGGTGAGTTGGACTTATGGGGCTTGGGCTGTGGGGAAGGTTAACTGCAGTGCAGACATCTGACCCCAGGCTCTAGGACGGGTTCCCAACCTTTTTCGATCCCTGTACCACCTTGGCTTTTAGTAAACCTTCCCGTACCCCCTATTCAATATGAAAGGAAATAAATTCTAGACTCTAGAATCCACAACTTTTTTCACTAACACTACTACTTTGGAATATTTCAATTAGGATAATCTAGTTATTTACCAAAGATTCCCCGTACCCCCTTGACAAGCTTTTCATACCCCCTGGGGGTACGCATACCCCAGGTTGGGAACCCCTGCTCTAGGAGGTGGGATGGCCCAAAGTTTGGGCTCTAGCTTGCCTCAGACGTCTACTCTATAATTAAACAGACTCACCACCCGAGCACTGAACACCCAAATCAGCTGGCCCGTTGTGGGGTGTTAATTGCAGTGCAGGCTAAGGAAAAAAAGCTCCAATGTGGCACTAGCTAAATCCACTCACCTGGGCTTGTCCTAGCAAACTCTCACTTTCCAATATACAGTACAGCAATGAAGAGAGAAATGATTCCAACAAACTGATGACTCATCTTTTAGAGGAATTTCTCCCTCCGGCTGTACCATGAGCGCTCGCATACCACTCTCACTTTGGATATCGACAGCATATGTTTGCTTCCTTATGGCTCGGGCTACTAAGCATGAAGCACCACATTGATTTTGGCCCAAAATCTTTGCTTTGAGCAAGTCTAGTGAATTTGTCTTCATGTACAAAAACAGGCTCATTCCTTCCCAGAGCAAAGGGCTGATAGAGGTAAAGAAAGACGACACAGCTCCAATACCTCTTCTACTTTAAATGGTACAAGCGATTTCATTGGTGGCTTTCGAATTAATAAAAGTTTTCATTCACTAAATAGAGCACCATTTATAGAGCAAACCAAGCGAGGGTGGAGTTGCTTATACCTAAAACATACACAAGCCAATGAATGGTCTCAGTTACACTAAGGTAACCCAGAGAAATGTCCTTGAACTGATGGAGTCGCTTTGGATTTACACCAGTGCCTGCCAGCAGAAATGGATCATTAAGTGCTGCTTCCGACATTCTCCTAGCGGTTTTCAAAGTGCGGGTCGCGACCCAATGGGAATGTCGGGCATTGGGGCTCGTTGCTGCAGGGGGATCAGGTGACCCATGGAGGAGCTAAGGCAGCTCCCTGCCTGACCTAGCACCACAGACTGTGCTGTGCCCCAGAATTAGCCGGCAATAGGCCCAGCTCCTAAGTGGGACCTGCCCCACTGCCCCTGCCCCGAGCACTAGCTCCACACTCCCATTGGCTAGGAACCTGCTGCTGGCTGCTTCTGGGGCCTTAGCAGCCCCGCTGCACCACTGACCAGGAGTAGGGTTGCCAGGTAGACCCCGCTAAAAAACCAGACACGCTTGTCCGGGGGGGGGATTAGCCGGCAATAGGCCCAGCTCCTAAGTGGGACCTGCCCCACTGCCCCTGCCCCGAGCACTAGCTCCACACTCCCATTGGCTAGGAACCTGCTGCTGGCTGCTTCTGGGGCCTTAGCAGCCCCGCTGCACCACTGACCAGGAGTAGGGTTGCCAGGTAGACCCCGCTAAAAAACCAGACACGCTTGTCCGGGGGGGGGAGGGAGAACC